TACGATTAAAAATGATAAGATGAAAGAAAAGAGAAACTTGTATGTAAATATAAGATGTGCCTACGAAAAAGAAATATTTATATTAAATGTAATAATTTTGTAATTATCTAAGTGATAAAAATTCAAGAGACCTGAAGATTGTTGCCCCTTCAGTTTTGTTACATCGAAAAATTATGTGTATGTGTATGTATGTATGTATGTATATATATATATATAAATTATGTGTATGTATATATACATATATATATATATAGTAGTATAACGTAAACTAATTAAAAAAAAAACAAATAAATAAATGATAGCGTGTATTAACTGTGTTTCATTTGCTTATACCGTCGTTATCTTAAGGTAATAAATTAAAAAAAGAACTTCATTAAAAGAATCGTGGAAGGATTCAAAAATGCTGGCACAGGTACCCGAGAAGTCACAGCATAGAGTCGTCCCTGTGCAATGAGTCACATCCTAAGATTGCTTGTAGAGGCGCTTTACCGCCATAGCCGTTTTATCTACTAGTGTTTGTGAATTGGTTTTTCGTATGAAAGTCAGAGTCGTTGAGTGAACTTGAGTTCAGTAGTGGTCGGTCGAATGCACGGAAAATATAGGCATGAAAAGCATCGTGTTCGATTAACTTTTTCTCCTATTACGTTATTCACTGCAAGAAAAATTGGTTTTCAACGGCGTCACCAAATAATTTAATACTTGTTAAAACCGGCTACTCTACGACAGGTAGACCAAGTATTCCGATCTCTCTGACCATTTGATCGCGTGACACACCTCGGAGGAACTTCTTTTTTTGTTTTTTTTTTTTCTCTTAATGTAAAACAAGCGAAAAGAGAAGGAAAGTTGCGTTTCGTACATTCATGAACGTTAATTTTAATTTTTTGATATCTTCGTAATGCATAAATTATGATTCAGTGTTATGACGTATCGTAGCAGAAAAGCATTCAGAAAAAATATTAATCGAATGTTTTCCGATGACAGTGTGAAATATAAAATGTTGTAACAGTGGTGTTCTTTGTTTGAAATATATTTCATGGCGGGAAATTGAATTTTGAAGAAGCAGACGTCACCAGGTAAGTACGTTAAGACGACCAATATAATTACCCTCTGTAATCATGCCATCTTATTGGTTTTTCTCCTGATTTTCAGTTTGTCTTTAATGCATTTATTTTGTTTGCGCACGTCATACGCCACCGCTATTTTCAGTAAATCGTCCAGTAAATCTCGATAAGATATAGATGACGAATTTTTGGCGATGCAGATGCGTTTATGCAAATAGATCTTCGACAATCCATCTTGTCCTCTGTCCCTCTCATTATGTTTAATATTGGCAATTTCACGAATCTTTGGCTGCGTAACTTGCGTAACCGAAACGCGATTCCATCATTCATTGTACAAAAGCGTTTAAAAAAGTCGCACTCTGAATCCCGTGTGTGTGTGTGTGTATATACATATATATACATATATATATACATATATATATGCACATCATACGCATACATGTAAAAATTGCTTTCTGATAATTGCTTTTTATTTTGCACGCTTCTTTTTCATCGACAATCATCAGTCTCATTATTTGAGGATGAGTTTCATTAGTTTTTTTTATCTTCGGTTTTCAGCTGGCCTCCTGCCTCTCTGTGTGATTATTCTTTGGATATCGAGTTTTGAGTTACGATTAACAGACAAATTCTTGTTTTATTCAACGACGCGGAGCTCGCACACAGTTTATCCGTAACTCGCCGCTACCTGACTGTGTGTGTTACCTGTTACCTCTGAGAATTCTTTGGAGTTTTCGGCTCTCCCGGAAGGCGATGCTTTTTATCTTCGTGCAACACGATTCGATTAAAAATATCTCGAAACGTTAAAAACAAAAGCTACACAAATGCCGAAATCGGCGACCAAGTGGACATTCTGGAGGTCTCTGTCATGTTATCAGACTGCGGATGTTTATGCAGAGTACTTTTATGAACCGCAAAAAAACATTGGACATTAGTAGAAGTTTATTTTATCTATTTTGGACTTTTCACGCATATCCTTCGTATTCTTGTATATTTTCGCACTTTTAAAGTTCCAATACATTTAAACGCATAAATATCCACAGTCTCTGTACTATATTTTACTTTCACGTTGTCAAACGAATAAAATAATTACCGACCAATTTTTTCAAGTCGAATGAAATAATCATCGAACTGATCTTTAAATACGATAACGCCAGCTGGTCACTTCGAACACACAATGATGAACATTATATATCATCAGTTGTTTTTGTCCGTTGCAATCATAACAACAGCACATTATTATTTAATCTGGCGCCGATTAAAACGGCGTAATTGATTTTTAACCCTGTTTTTACAAAGTTTTTGCTCTTCATTTTTTTTTCCTATTTATAGATCGCTCGTTTCTATGATTGTTTTACTGCGTGTAATCGGTCATCATTGAAGCTAACGCGTACTCGACGTATGATGCGATTATAGGGTAACCTATCGACGATTTGAAAATCCGCCATTCATGTGCGTTGAACTATGCATATATACGTATATGCAATTTCACTGCAATCGATTG